CAAAGAACACAGAGAACATAAGACAATTATACTAAAATGCATTGTCCATGCTGGATTACAATGGCTTTTTTTTCCTCTCTTTTTTCTTCTTGTCTTTTATTTTGCACTGTATTTGTATATTAAGTTTCTCACATAAGAGAAATGGTATTTAAGCTTGTGTGTCTGTCTTATTTCACTTAACATTATGGTCTCAAAGTGCATCCATTTTCCTACAAATGGCTCATGTTTACCCTTCTTTATGGCAGTGTAGTACTCCATTGTGTGTAAATACCACATTTGTTTTATCCATTCATCCATTGATGGACATATAGGCTGCTTCCAAGATTTAGATATTATGAATTGAGGCCATCTGGGTTTTGTTTTTGTTTTTGTTTGAGATGTGGTCTTGCTATGTAGTCCAGGCCGGCCTTTAACTCACTATAGGGCCTGGACTAGCCTCAAACTCCCGGCAATCTTCCTGCCTCGGCCTCCCGAGTGCTGGGCTTTAAGGCGTGTGCAACCACACCCAGTGAGGCACCTGGATTCTTAATCAGTGCCCCCATGTCCAATGGTACATCGCAGAGCCTCGCGAAGACTCCACTGTAAGTTTGTGACTGAAGGAAAGGCAACTGTCTTCTCACTTTTATGCATATGGTTTGGCCTTGTGGCCCCCTGAAAGACTAGACCTATTGTTGATCCAGAAACACAGTGACCTTGAGGATGCCCAGGGGTCCCCAGATCATCCTTTGTGAATCGCTGGTTTAAAGAACTGTCAAAATTGGCGGGGCATGGTGGGGAACGCCTGTAATCCCAGCACTCGGGAGGCTGAGGCAGGAGGATCGTTGCAAGTTTGAGGCCAGCCTGGGCTACAAAATGAGCCCAAGGCCAGCCTGAACTGCATGGCGAGAGTGAACTAGATAAATCAGGCATCTGTCCTTAGTTTACTAACAGCAGAGACAAAAAGATCAGGGAGTTGACACTCGAGCTGAGACTTCAGCGACAGAGGGCCGGCCAGCAGCGATCGGAGGAACAGCCTTCCAGACGCAGCAAGCGGGTCCTCCAAGACGCGGAGCCCTGCTGGAGAGCGGCCCGGCGGGGCGGCAGGATGAGAGAGGGTAAGGTCCGCGGAAGGAGTAGGGTAGCTGAAGAGTGTTTGTTCCGAGGTGAGAAAGGACGCCTAGAGGTCAAGCCTGCCCGCCTCCCTCCCGAAATCCGCTTACAGATGCGAACGCGGGAACGGGCGCGCGCCGCCTCGCGTAATCTTGGGTCTCGGCGCCTGCCGTAGACGTCGTGAGCGAAGCCGCCCGTTGCCTAGGAGCTGGCTAGACGCCGCCGGGCTTCCACTGCGGGGAGGAGGCCGGCCGCGGGCTTGGGTCACCATGTCTGTGTTGGACGTGCTGTGGGAGGACCGGGACGTCCGCTTCGACGTCTCCTCGCAGTGAGTCTCGGAGAGTCCCGCGGGGCTGCCGCCTGCAGAGGGCGACTTGGCTCCAGCTCCTGGCGCGGGGAGGCGCCGGCGAAGGGCGCGACCGCCTGGGCCGCTGCGGGCCTCCGGGCGGGCGCCGCTGTAGAATCGCGGCCGGATTACAGTTTCGGCCCGGTGCGATCTCCGGCCAGTCCCAGACAGGGACCTTTCAGGAGCGTGACCCGCACTGTGGCGGGGACCACCCGGGCCGTGGGCGTCCGCCGAACCCAACTGAGTTTGGGGTTTCACGTTCGCGGGGGGCAGGGGACGTGGGCAGGGACTCAGGAAACGGGGTTCTAAAACGGAGTCTGGAATAGCGACGCCTTTTGTGGTCCCTTGCATAAACAACTTTTCTTTTTTTTTTTTTCTCTTTTTTTTTTTCCGTTTTAAGATAGGGTTTCACGTGCAGTTCAGGCTGGCCGCGAACTCGCACGATGCTCCTGCCTCAGCCTCCCAGGAGCTGGGATTACAGGCGTGCGCCACTACGCCCACCCCACTTCAACATTCTGAATTCGAGTTTTTCTGTTTATAGAACGAGGCGAGGGGGAGTGAACATTCTTCACCGTTCCGAATCACTGGTGCAAGCCTGTAATCCCAGCACCCCAGTGGTTGAAGCAGGAGGACCTCGAATTTGAGGCCGGCCTGGAACGGGGCCAGACCCGTCTCAAAAAACAAAAAAATCTTACCCCCCCAAAAGATATTTATATAGATGATCAACTTTCATCTCATTCATCTGCATCACCAATCAGGAGGAGTCCTGTTTAGAACCCTCCTTCCCAAAGTCCAGGCGGTGGAAATGCCCATTGAGATGTTGAATGTTGGAAAACATCACAGCTGAGGTTCTTGGATTAGCTGCTTCTCAGCGGACGGCACCTCTTTAGATGGAAAAACGGGACGTTGGTACATTTCTCAGGCCTTAATGTGACTGGATAACAAGACCAACGTAGTGTTAGGTCCTGTAAGAGGTTGGAAGGAATCATTACACACACTCTTTGACTTTTTTCTTTCCTTCTTAGAGGACTCAATCCGAACAGATGTCCATTTCATGAGCGTTTTAAATTTATTAAACATCAAATGTTTCCTAGATGCTGGTTATTGTGCTGGTAGCTAGAAATACAAAAATAGTAGGAAATTATTCTCATATTCCCTTCCACCCATTTTATGCAAGAGATACGCAGAGACAACTATAATAAATATGGTTCAAAACCGTTCTGAAAAAAAAAAAAAAAAAAAAAAAGCTAGGGATAATGGAAGAAGAACAGTTCATTATGCCCAGGAGAAAGCCTCACAGAAGAAACGATACTTGACTTGCACCCATCAATAAGCAGGACCCTGTCTGCTCAGATAGGGAGCAGGTATTCTAGAAAAGAAAAAGGAAATAGAAGCAGTGTCTTGGGGATATAAACGACATTGCTGGAAGGCAGAGTGGGCCACAGGGAGAGGCTGGAGGTGCCACAGAAAGGCAGCTTAGCCAGACTGCGAGGGGCTCAGCTGAGGATTCTGGACTTCGGCCTCTCGGCTGCTGGATGGGTGGAAGGCTTTCAGGCCGGGCAGTGAAGTGATCAGATCCGTATTTTCAGTGGCTGCTTGAGTTGGTTCTGTGACGCATGTATTGGGGTGCTCTCCTCGTAATCCGCTAGTTTGTTCCTTCCGTATGTTTGGTTTGTTTGTTGTCACTTTCGAACTGTCCTGGTCAGCAAGCTCTTCTTGTACCTGATTACATGCTAAGGCCGGAGGATGTTTTGCATGCGGCTCTTCTTAGCCGTTCCTTCTGGAGCTACCCGATGTCCTTTCCTCTACTTAGAAACCCCTGGGGGCCTCCTCCCTGGCCACAGGACTGGGCCCGTACGGGTCAGCCTGGCATTCAGGGTTCCCTCACCTGGTTCCTCCGAAGTGCCCAGCTGGTTCCTGTCGCTCCTCAGGACCTCTTCTTCCCCCACGCTGCTCTTTTCCTGTGCTCTTGTCTTTCTTTTTTTTTTTTTTTTTCGTTTTTCTCCGGTACGGGGAACCGAACTCACGACCTTGCGCTTGCCAGGCAGGCGCTTTTGCCGCTGAGTTAAATCCCCAGCCCCTGCTCTTGTCTTTCTTGTCCTCTCTTTAACATGGGCTCTCCTGTCTCACAGTTCTCCAAACGCTGCCCTTTCCTCCTCCTTCTGCTCACTCCAAGTAGCACTGGTCACTGCAGCCCCGCTGATGTCCAGGGCTTGAGCGTCTTCACAGACCTCCCGGCACGCGCAGGAGCACGCGGGCTGTGATCTGTATTGTCAGCCATTTTGAGGCAATGTCTCCTCTCTCCCTGAAGGGATTGTAAGACATTGTCATAACTATAACATTAAAACTTTTGTATTTGTTTTAGACAAATGAAAACAAGACCTGGTGAAGTCCTTATTGATTGTTTAGATTCAATTGAAGATACCAAAGGAAATAATGGGGATAGGGGTAAGTGTATTTTATAATAAATTTTGTATTTTTGGTTTAATTTACAAATGTGAGCCGGGCAGGGTGACGCACGCCTGTAATCCCACCACTCGGGAGTTTGAGGCAGGAGGATCATTGCAAGTTCGAGGCCAGCCTGGGCTACAAAGTGAGCTCAAGTTCAGCCTGAACTGCATAGCAAGACCCTGTTTCAAAAAGACAAAAAAAAAAAAAAAGTTGTGTTAGCTGGAGGGTATATGAAACAGCATCCCCTATAAATGTAATTGTGATCATACGTTGTGTAATTGTGATAAGCCTCCCTTGGGAGGCTGAGGCAGGAGGATAGAGGCCCATTTGAGGCCAATTTGGGCTATGTAGTGATTTCAGGGCCCGCTAGATGGTATCAGAAGACCTGTCTCAAAACAACAATAACAAAATGCAGTCGTGAGAACAGAATTGAGTCCATAGAATTTTCTCAGACTTAGGTAGAAGAAAGGGTAGAGGTAGATATTAAACCTGTAGCCAAGGAGCGCAAATTCTCCCTCAGCATCAGTCCTGGTTCTGACATCAGCTTTGTCCAGTAACAGTTGGATTTCAGGAGCTCTATATGCGGGGGTCGTGGAGGAGTTCTGACCCTCGTGTCAGCCTCCCCCAGAAGCGGGTGGGCTGGGGAATGGAAGGAGGTCAGAGTTGTGGTACCTGGCACCATGCTGCTTTCTAAGGAAATCCAGGAGTAACACCCAGCCCTGAGCACCTAAGACGGAAACCTCCAGGTGGACATGAGGAAAGAAAGTTTAGTGCTGCACTGTGAAGTCTGTAGGTCGAAAACCAGAGAATCCTGTGTCTTCTCTGTCACTAAGAGCAGTCATGGCTGAACCCTGTACCCCTCTACCCCCAGAGGAGATGACCTCAAGGTTGAATCGAAAGTCTAGCCTGCATACAGCAGCTGCCCAGGAGCCAGTAACCAGTGGTCAGCAGGTCGCCAAAGCATCCTCACTGTTCCTCAAGGGGAAAAAGCAGAAGTGGAGTAGCAGCTTAGTGATGCCTGGAAGTTTCTTGGGCAGAGAGGAGGCTTAGGAAGGAAGGACACAGACTCTGTCCAGAAAGAGGAATTGCAGAAGAATGCCTCTGTCCGGGGGAGGGGACTGGAACCTCAGGGTGGAAGGTGTTCACTGCAGCCTTCGGGGGGCTGCTTGCTGGCCGGGCCTTCCTTCTTTCTGGTCAGCGGTTGGCTCGCGTGAGCAGCAAGGCCGCTGAGCCTGCTGCCTGGGAGGAAGCCACCATTGCTGCCAGCGGGGGCAGAGAAAGCATGGTTGTTCTTACACAGGTTGGCAGGTGTTCCTAGGCGACAGCCCAACGTCTGGGACAGAGACGGAGCGTAATAGAATGTTTGCTTACTTCATCAGGGCCCCATTGAGTGCAGAATCCTTGCACTTTGGGTTGGGGAAAACAGAAAACCTCCCAGGTCAGAAATCTCCATCCTAGGTGCCTGAAATCCTGCTTTGAACACAAATAACTCTTGGTATGTGCACTGATCTCAGAAACCTTTGATGTCACAGAAGTGCATAGCGCCTCTGGCTGATAAGGTAGAAAAGGGAAGGGAAATCGTATTCTGCTCACAAAAGAATTGTGTGTATTAAGCATTTAAATGAGAAATGCTAGGAGGATGAGCCCAGCAGGCTTCAATGTGCGGATGGGAGTTTGAGAGTCTTATTTCAGTGACTGGCTTTGTAATTATATTATCCCATGCTAAGTTGTACACATATTACCTGCTAGGACCCCAGAACATTTTCTAACAGGACAAGAAACTAGTACACAAAGTGTAGGGCATGTGGTGCACACCTGTAATTCTAGTACTAAGGAGGCTGAGGCAGGAGGATCAAGAGTTAGAGGCCAGCCTGGGTTACGTACTGAGGTCAAGGTGAGGCCAGCCTGGACTACATAGCCAGACCCTATCTCCAGGGGGGGGAGAAAGGCTCACAACTCTATTCTTGGTCAGTCTGAATTAACCCAGTGTAGCAGTGAGTAACTGAATACCTTCTGTCAGCCTCAGGTTTTGTTTCTGTGGGATTCGGAATCATACAATCTTTACATAGAAGAGATTTGTGTGAAAAACATCTGTTTTGATCCTGGGCCAGAGTTCCACAAATACCTCAGACAGCAAACATGGGTCCTTAATTAAGCTAACCAATTTTTTGTTTGTTTGTTTTTAGGGAGACTTTTAGTCACTAATTTAAGAATCATCTGGCATTCGTTGGCATTGCCCAGAGTCAACCTTTGTAAGTATCCTTGTTAGGTGAAATTCTAAGAAGAAGAGTCTTCTGTCAGGGAACTTAGGTGATAGCTTTTGATAGCAAAAAAGGAAAAAGCTGTACTATGAAATATGTGGAAATCTGAAATTGACCAAAACTTCAGAAATCTTGGACTAACCACAGACTGCTTTGTAATGTAGAAGAAATGATTCATTCTTATTTTCCAGTCTGTAAATTGTGTCTTGGACATAGATGAGATCAGGGATTGTACACTGAATAGTTTTTGTCTTTGTTTTTGCTTATCTTTGACAATTTTTTATGTGTTTCGAGAAATCCCAAGGGAGGTGTAAATTATAGTAAAAGTAAATTCTTTCATTTTTCATTGTGTTAGATGTTTTGCTTTTTTTTTGGTCTTTCTGAGACAGGTCTAACTAGGTAGTTCGTGCTGGCCTTGAGCTCACTTTGTAGCCCAGGCTGGCCTTGGGCTGGCCTTGAACGTACAACGAGCCTCCTGCCTCAACCTCCTGAGTGCTGGGATTCCAGGCGTGCACCACCATGCCTGGTTTAGAATTTTTCTTTTGATGTTGTGGTGTTAATATTTTCAATAAATAAGCCAGGCATAGTGGCACACACCTGTAATCTCAGCACTCAGAGGCTGAGGCAGGAGGATCACCGTGAGTGTCAGGCCAGCTTGGGCTACATAATGAGTTCAAGGCTAGCCTGAACTACACAGCAAGACCCTGTCTCAAAATAACCACCACCACCACCACCAGTAAAAATATTTTCAATAAATAGTGCTGTGTAGGTTGCAGAAAAAGCATATTTCATTCTTCCTATGTTATGAATGTTTTTATTCAAAGAGACAGAATCAAATATTTCTTTAATTTTACTAAAATGTATAATTATTTCCTAACAGTTATTTCCTAATAATTATTTCCTAACAAAGTTGTATTTCTATTTGTGTTTAATTTTTTTAAATGTTAAAAGTTCTCTATATATGTTTTTGTACAAAGTATTTTTTCTCTGTTTATTGTATCATATTCCTTAAACTCTCTGGTTTTGAATTTTAGCTATTGGTTACAACTGCATATTGAATATTACAACAAGGACTGCTAACTCTGTAAGTCTGAAAAATCCTATTGATGGATACATATATATAAAAAAATATATATAGTGAAACATTAGATATTTGAAGTTAATATTTGTTTTTACTTTAAATAAACCATTGCTATTCAGATCTAAACTTTAAAATAAATTTGTTCTTACAGAAATTACGAGGCCAGACTGAAGCTCTTTATATACTAACAAAGTGTAACACTACTCGCTTTGAATTTATATTTACCAATTTGGTTTCTGGAAGTCCTAGGCTTTTTACTTCTGTGATTGCAGTACACAGGTATAGTAATACTTCGTGGAATATCTTGTGATACAGATTTAGTGGAGCTGGGCATGGTGGTGCACACCTGTAATCCCAGCACTTGGGAGGCTGAGGCAGGAGGACTGCTGTGAGTTCGAGGCCACCTGGGTTACATAGTGAGTTCAAGGCCAGCCTAAACTACACAGATCTGTCTCAAAAAACAAAAACAAGAAAAAGCTGAGTTAAGAGGACAAAGTGTATAATTGTTTGTGTTTCTTCTATTATTAGTAATGCTGAAATTTTTCATATGTTTGGCTAACTATAGTTTTCTATTATAAATTCCTTAATTGTACCATTACCTGTCATACAGTTGCAAGTATTTCTTAGTTTCCTAGTTTGCTTTTTGATTTTTGTCCTTTTTTTTTTTTTTTTTTCCTGGAGACAAGGTTTTGCTGTGCAGTTCAGGCTGGCCTTGAACTCACTTTGTAGCTTAGGCTGGCCTCGAGCTAGCAGCGATTCTCCTGCCTCAGCTTCCCGAGTGCTGGGATTACAGGTGTGTGCCACCACACCCGGCTGCTTTTTTATTTTGTTGATGAATTATTTATATATTTGTTTTTGTTTTTGTTTTTTGGTACTGGGAATCAAACTCACGACCTCACTCTTACCATGAAGGCACTGTGCCGCTGAGCTACATCCCCGGCCCGAATTATTTATATAAATGTGTATGTTTTGTTTTGGTTTTGCTGTGCTGGGGATTGAAACCAGGGAGCACTGAGCCCTATCTCCAGACTCTTTTTAATTTTTTTAAATTTTGAGACAGGGTTTCACTAGGTTGCCCAGCTGGCTGCCACTTGTGATCTTCCTACTCAGCTTCCCAAGTAGCTGGGGTTACAGCTCTGCACCACCACACCTAACAGAATGGGTTACTTTTAATTTGTTTGGTTTTCTGTTTATTTTATTTTATTGGTATTTTGTTTTTTGTTTTTGTTTTTGTTTGGTTTTTTTCCCGGTACCGGGAATGGAACTCACGACCTTGCACTTGCCAGGAAGGCACTGTACCGCTGAGCTAAATCCTCAGCCCCCCTTTATTGGTATTTTGAAACAGGGTCTTGCTATGTAGTCCAGGCTGGCCTTGAATTTGTGGTGATCCTCCTGCCTCAGCCACTTGAGTGCTAGGACTACAGGTGCGTGGCACCACACCTGGCATTACTTTTTTACTGAGGTATAATTCTATTTTATTTTTTGGTCTTTTTTGAGACAGGGTCTCACTAAAAAGTTCAAGTTAGCCTTGAGCTCACTTTGTAGCCCAGGCTGGTCTCGAGCTCCAAACGATCCTCCTGCCTCAGCCTCCCGAGTGCTGGGATTACAGGCATGTGCCACCACGCCCGACTTTACTGAGGTATAACTCATATGACATAAAATTTCACCTAACATAAAATTTACCCGTTAAGGTGTGCAGGTCCATAGTTTTAGTATATTCACAGAGTTGTACGTCCTCCACCATTATCCAATTCCAGAATGCCTCTGCACCCTGAAGAAAAAACCCCACACTACTAGCATCATTCCTGTTCCTTCTGCCTGCAGCCCAGGCAGCTGTGAACTTATGTTCTTGACAACCAGGAGCTTATTTTCTGTCTCAGGGACTGGCCTGTCCTGGACATTTCCTTCCGTACTGTTTTCAGGATCTGTTCCTGCTGCAGCATCTGTCAGTGGCATTGTGCTCCTTTTCATAGCTGCCTGGTGTTCTCTCATGTCCACATTTCGTTTGTCTGCTCATCAGTTGCTGGACATTTGGGTTATTTCCATGTTTTAGCTATTATGACTACTAGTGCTGTGAACATCTGAGTACAACATTTTGTGTAAACATATTTTTTCAGTTTTCTTGGCCATATACCTAAAGCTTAGTTCTTTACGGTACATGGAAGTATTATGGAATGAAACACTTTAGCTGGGCGTGGTGGCGCACGCCTATAATCCCAGCAGTTGGGAGGCTGAGGCAGGAAGATCGTTTGGAGTTCGAGACCAGCCTGGGCTACAAAGTGAGCTCAAGGCCAGCCTGAACTGAGTAGCAAGACCCTGTCTCAAAAAGAAAAAAAAAAAAAAAAAAAAAGCTGTAAGTGACGTGTGAAATGAGCATGAGAGCTGCATTTCTTTAGTAGTATAAAAATACATGTTTGCCCCCAAGTGACTTACAGCATAAATCATGTCCACATTTTCCATTGGTTAAGTATTGATAACAGCACTAACGAAAATTAAGATTTATAGGCAGAATGCTCAAATCCTACTGACAAGTAACATATTAGAATACTAATTAAAGAAACAATCAGAAGTTTAAGAGGAAATATTATAAATTTATATAAGTGGATTATAAAGTTATTAAAGCTAATAAAGGTCTTTATTTTTGTAAATTGAATAAATTAGCCTGTTTTCATGTAGAATAAAATTAGAATTAACTGCCAGGTATGGTGGTGCACACCTGGAATTCTAGCATTCAGGAGGCTGAGGCAGGAGGATTATCAAGAGTTCAAGGCCAGCCTGAATTGCAGAGTAAGACTGTCTCAAAGAACCAAAAATAAAATAAAGTGAAATAGAATTAACTAATAAAAAGTTAATCAGATTTTTTTGATATGATTTGTTAATAGGGAGACATGGGAAGAAAACAAAATAATAGAGATTTTATTTTCCCTCATCCTATCCTTGCCTTGTCCCCTTCCCCCTTAGAATCCATTTTGGAGTTGGTATAGTTTCATTCTTTTTTGTGTGAAAGTACAGGTCACAGAGAGAAACGTAACTGAATTTCTGCTGCTGTCAAAAGATCCCTTGAGTAAAACAGGGCAATAGCCAGACATGGTTGCATACAGCTCTAGTCCTCGCACTCAGGAGGCTGAGGCAGGAGGAAGATTGCCTTGAGTTCGAGGCCAGCATCGGCTACATGGTGAGTTCAAGGCTAATCTGGACTACATAGCGAGACCCTGCCTCCAAAAAAAGGCAAAAAACAGAACAAACCAAAAATAAGATAGAGAGATAAAGTATAAATATTTCACTAACATGACAGAGTCTACCAAAAATGCATAACTATCAAACCTCATTGGAAAGCAATTTAAAATTTCATAATAAGTGAGTATAAATACTAATGACTGTATACTTAGTAGGTAAGTAAATATTACCTAAGGAAGCCACATTTTAGGTCTGGATGGTCTTTTGTTTGTTCTTTGTAGAGCGTATGAAACTTCTAAGATGTATCGTGATTTTAAATTGAGAAGTGCACTGATTCGCAACAAGCAGCTAAGATTATTACCGCAAGAGCACGTGTGTGATAAAATCAGCGGAGTGTGGAATTTGTCCAGCGATCAGGTATCGTGTGAAGGGCTAGTGCATCTTTTACTGTTGGAATTGAGTAATCACTTCTTTCATTTTTCCTCATAATTAGTTTTTATATTCATTCGACTCTTAATTAATAAAATAGCATTGTAGCACTTGATAAATTAATGTTATAGCTCTTGGTATGAAACAGTATTATTTTTGTTTGTTTGAGTCAGGGTCTTGCTGTGTAGCCCAGGCTGGCCTGGAACTCACGTCTGTCTTCCTGCCTCAGCTTCCTGAGTGCTGGGATCACAGGCATGCACCACCTCACCCAGCTTGCCACTGTAGTGTGAAACCAACCACACCAAAACTTAATTTTGTACAATATTCATGCCTCAGAAATATTCTTAAGTTGTTTTGTTTTTTTTTTTCTTTTTCATTTTGTTTTGTTTTGTTTTGTTTTGTTTTGAGACAGGGTCTCACTATTTAGTTCAGGCTGGCCTTGAACTCACTAGGGAGCCTAGGCTGGCTTCGAACTTGCAGCTGTCCTCCTGCCTCAGCCTCCGAGTGCTGGGATTACAGGCATGCGCCTCCACACCTGGCTTCTTACATTTTTTTCTAATCTTTTAAAAATATAAGAAATGTTTTTAGCTGTGGGCCATAAAAGAGGCAGCAGTGAAGCACAGGCTGTAATTTGCCAACCCCTGCTTCCGGTGACACCTTAGACATCCCTTTCTGAAAGCTTCCCTCTGTGCACCCCTTACACAGCTGACACTTCACTCTGTGCTCCCAAATTACTGCTCTAAGTGACATGGCTTGTCCGTACCCCCATGCAGATGGTAGGCCTCAGACATCTGGTGGGTTCCCCGTTGGCGGTGAGACCCTTATCACGTGGCCTAAGACCTGGGGGTTTGTATGAGTTAAAGGGATGTTCCAGGGTTACGAGATACATGGTGCTGGGCGCACACCTTTAATCCCTGGAGGGTCAATGGGCGTTCATGGCCAGTCTGGGCTACATGGTGAGTTCAGGGTCAGTTTGAACCTTATAGTGAGACATGGTCTCAAAAAAAAGGAGAGAATTAGTCTGCATAAGTTGAAACTTAGTATCTTTTTTTTTTGTCTTTTTGAGACAGAATCTGGTTATGCAATTCAGACTGGCCCTGAGCTCACTTTGTAGAACTCACAACAATCTTCCTGCCTCAGCCTCCTGAGTACTGGGGGATTACAGGCATGCACCACCATGCCTGGCTGTCTCAGACTTTAAGTAATAATTATAGTGAGATTTACTACTTATAAAATACTTGCTATGTGCCAGGCACTCTGCGGAGAGCTTTATTTAATCGAATTCCCATTTCACACTTGACAAAATTCACCAAGAAGAGAGTTGCCTGTGGCCAGACACCGGAGCTGATGTTTTAACGCTGAACGCTTCTGGGGGCTCCAGGGCCGGCTCGCAGTCATCTCCTGATGCTGCCAGTGAACGGTGGCGTCGTTGACATCCCATAGTAGTTTAGGGGTTGTGCTGGTTCTGTGATACTCGAAAATACATTCCTCTTGTGCTTAAGAAAAAAGGACAGATGTCCAAATACATAATCACTGACTTATTTCTCACTCTGCTTTACAGGGAAATTTAGGGACGTTTTTTGTTACCAATGTGAGAATCGTGTGGCATGCAGATATGAATGACAGCTTCAACGTCAGTATCCCCTACCTGCAGATCGTAAGTACCAGCCTCTTGGCGACCTTATTCAGATATAGAATAACTTTTGTCTTTTGAGGCAGGGTCTTGCTATACATTCCAGGCTGGCCTTGAACTCAGTATGTAGCCCGGGCTGGCTTGAGTTTATGGCAGTCCTCCTGCCTCAGCCTCCTGGGTACTGGAATTACAGGTGTGTGCCATGACACCCAGCTGGCCAAGCCTATCTTTTGCTAAATTTTTCGATTTCTAATTTACTTTAAAATAGCTGCTCATTCACTCGTCTCCCAAACATTGAGCACCTACTGTGTGCTAGGGAGTGGAGACAGAATTATGAAAATCATGACCCAGTACACAGTTCCTGCCATCAGAGACATTCCAGTCTGCTGGAGGAAAGCAGCTTCCTAAAACAGAATGTCATAGAATTGGACAGGAGGAAGGTGATTTCTGGTCACCTGAAGAAGTGTGGGACATTGTAATCACTGTTGGGGAGGTGCCCGCGTCCACCTCGGTGTCTGCTAGGTTGCATTCATATTGTTCCCTGCAATGTTATTTTGCTCTGATACGAGCCACAGCCTGCCTCACCCGGCCTCTGCTAAGCTGAGTACTTACGGGGTAGTGGACAGCCTTGTGCCACCTGTTCTTCAAATAGAATCTATTTTACTGTTTAAGAATCGGGTTGCCAAGCGTGGCCCCAACAGCTTGCAACCCGATCTCATGACTGTGAGTCTCTGCTGCAGTCAGGTGCTAACTTCAGCCCCGCGCCTCCGCCTTCCACGCATGCGCACACGTTCATGCCCGCTTTGGTTGGTTGGTTGGGTTTTTTTGGTAGCGGAAATGGACCTCATAACCTCGCGCTTGCCGGGCAGGCGCTGTGCCGCTGAGCTATATCCCCGGCCCTCACGCCTGCTGTGTAAACCCCTAGATGCTTCTGTGAGCGGCCCGCGTCTTCCAGTTCCCTTACCATCAGTGAGAGCCACGGTACCATCTCTGCAGGGGCTTGCAAAGGAAAGGGGGACTCTGTTCTTTGGACTATGACAAGTAGTTCCTATGGGAAAGTTTTAAAACTTGTCTTAAAGACTCGCTGTCAGATAATAAAAGCATGCATTTTTTTTTTTCATGTCATATCTAGCGTTCAATAAAGATTCGAGATTCAAAATTTGGTTTAGCTCTTGTCATAGAAAGCTCTCAGCAGGTAAGATAATTTACATTTTTATTACTCTTACATAGATTGTTAAAACAATGTGATGGTCCAGGTTTTTAGTTTTATTTGTAGAGTAACCACTTTACATCCAATAAGAATGGTAGCTAAAACATGAAGGATACAAAATGTTTGAAGTCGTGTAGTAATTATCTCCATAGGAAGAATCCTGTCTGTATTTTTTTGTTGTACAGTCATAATCAGTTTTGATTTTTTTTTTTTTTTTTGTCTTTTTTGAGATAGGGTTTTACTGTGTAATTCAGGCTGGCCTTGACTCACTTTGTACCCAGGCTGGCCTTGAACTCACAGCAATCCTCCTGCCTCAGCTGGGATTACAGGTGTGCACCAGCACAGCTGGCCATAATCACTATATTATCATTATGTTCATCACTTATTAATGACAGAAATGAAGCACCACACTTAACACTTTTCGCACATCTTCTCACTGTAATAACTCCCAGCTGTTACCATTCCCTTCTCATTTTGTAATCATTGAAACTGAGCCTAGAGAAATTAGAAACTTCACCCCCGGCCTCACAAGTACAGTAGGACCTTGGTTCACGAGGGCTTCTGTTCCCAAACAGTTCAGTTCTCAAACAGAAGCATTAGGCACAGTTTTGCTTGTTCTTGAACTCAGCACTGGGTGACAGGTTCGACCCGGCCAGCTTCCCAGAGTCATGGATCGAGTTAATTTCGTGAACGCAGGCAACACTGTAGTGAGCGTGGGGCCAGATTCTGATTCCAGGTCTGACTGATTCACAAGACTTTGAAAATCGCAGATAGAGAAATGCAATAGACTCTGTTTAAGACTTTATCCCTCACACACAGATTGCAGTGAGTCCCTGACCTACCAAAGAGCTCCGTGCCAAGAGGACGTTCCTAAGTCGGATTCATGCTTGACTCAGAGAGTCCTATACACCTTTGACACAAACGTAAAATCTATAGCATAAAAAACCAAACACACCCGAAAATACTGTAGATAAGCTATTTGTACTTTTACACTTACCTTAGAATACTGGCACAGGGTTAGGGTTAGGGTGAGCTATTTCCGTGATTTGTTCACACCTACAGATCTTCCCAGTGTGAGCTTTGTTGGTGTCATTGAAAGTCTGCAGCTCAGATGTTTGTAAATCAGGGACTTACTGTCCACAGTATCTAATTATAAAGTGCTATGCTCCCATTTTACCATTTTTTTTTTCAAAAATAGCTTTAAACAAAACATTTACAATACATTTTTTAGGCAGGCATAATGGTGAACACCTGTAATCCCAGCACTTGGGAGGCAGAGGCAGGAGGATCACTGCAAGTTCCAGGCCACCCTGGGCTACATAGTGAGTTCAAGGACAGCCGGAACTACATAGATAGCAAGACCTTGTCTCAAAAAAACAAAAACAAAAACAAAATTTGTTTTTCTTACTCTTCAAGGAGAGAGCCTTGGAGGGTCATTGCCCTTCTTTTCATGTAGCGTCTGTTCTTTCAGGCCCAGCTCTCAGGAAACTTCGCTCCCTTTGCCTTCACAGCCTGCAGTGCGCTTTTTCAATGAAACACTGTGGTACCCGCTGCAGCTTCAGAATGGGGTGGGGGGCAGGGGAGAGCCGCTAAAGGGGAAACCGAGCTGGCCACAGGTCGCCGCCGCTTGAAACGCCACTTCAGTTTTCATACATGCCTGAAGACTGTGATAGCAAGGAGTTTCATTTTTAAAAAATTAGCTTAAATGTTTTGCTGTAAAATAAAATAAGGATGATTAGTTTGTCGTGTGCTGTAAACACCGTTCCTCAGGCCTGTTGCTGTTTTTTTTCTTGTAGAGTGGAGGATACGTTCTTGGCTTTAAAATAGATCCTGTGGAAAAGCTACAGGAGTCAGTGAAGGAAATCAATTCACTTCACAAAGTCTACTCTGCCAATCCTATATTTGGAGTGGATTATGAAATGGAAGAAAAGGTAATTTGTTCAGGACATGAAATGCAGACTTTGCCAAACTGAGGGCTGCCTGTAAGTTCCGATATAAACACATTGTATACCATTTTACTTGAAACTGTTTTGAAAATGATGGGTAAACAAGCCACACTTGGTGGCGCACGCCTGTAAGCCCAGCACTCGGAGGCCGAGGCAGAGGATCACTGCGAGTTAGGGGCCAGCCTGGGCTACGCAGCAAGACCCTGTCTCCAGAAAAGCCAAGAGGTGAGTAAGTCAGTGAGTGAATGAAGTGACAACTGTGAGACTCTGCAGATGCGCACAGGGCCCTCGCCCCTCTAGGAGCCAGTGCCTGCCTTTGGCTGGCTGGCAGCTGGCGCATTCCTCCCTGGCCCGAGTCTCCGGCGCGGGCTCCTCTCACGAGGACAGCCGTATTCCCTCCTCCTGTCTGCTTTGTTTGTATCCTGCCTCAGCCTCCCATTAACAACAGATACCACGCTGTTCCCCACTGCTCCTGACCAACTCACCTGGTCCTGTGGGTCAGTGCCCCCCCGCCATTGTTTGGAAATATTTTGGCACCTTCATGTTGAGACCCAGTCTTCCTGCATCACCCACACTGGTGCCAGACTCCTGAGATCACAGGAGCGATTGTCCTGCCTCAGCCTTCCAAGCGCTAGGCTGTCAGCATGTCACCACAGTTAGCAAGCTTTGGGGGTCTTGGCTGGCGCCCCACACACCTCTTTGCCTTCCTCGTGGCTTCCGGTTGCTGCGTGAGGCCTGGCCCTCTCCAACCAGACCACCAGCCAGTCTGTCACTGTCACTGCCATCCTTACGGGGGCTCTTGCTGTCTGCTCTATGACTGCACCACACTCTCAGCCCCATCAGAGGCACCCTCGCCATCTGCTTGGTCGCCTTCGCCCTGGCTTTGTCCCTTTGCTGCCCTGCGGTGCCCTTGGGCTGGTCTCCTCCATGCCTCGCCGGTGCCCAGCCTGTCAGGCCACATGGCGGCCGTCGTCTCTGCCTGTCTTCCCGCACCTGGACCCAGCTGGGACCCAAGGGCCAGGCCGCAGGCGAGCCCCTCCTTCCCGTCCCCCCCGTGCCTTGGTTCTGTCAGCGGCGCCTCTAGATCTGCGGCTGGACTTTTCGGGGTGCCACAGGGTGTCCGATCTTGGTACCCTGTCAGCTTATCTCCCTCTGAACGCTTCAAGTAGCATCAGGTAGATGAGTGTCCCAAATAATGTCCACTGGACGTATCATTTCAGGGTTTGTCTTAGTAATTTAATCAAGTAAATACTTGTCCAAGTCAGTGACATACTTGAGGCCGTCGGTGAGCATCTCAGACGAGGCTCACCGAGAAGTAGCCTCCTTTCTCTCAAAGCGGCGCCTTTCTGTCTTGTCTGTGACGTACCGCTAGCTTTGGCAGAGGCAGCTGTGCTCAAAACCTTGGAGTTTTCCTCCATTTTTCCATTGTCTCATTTTAAACACTCATTAAATTATACTAACCTCTTCCCCATTTCTATCCTTTTCTTTCCATTTAAATGTCAGTTATTAAATCAGACATAATGTTGTGAAACAAGCATAGTTCGTGGAACCTGTTAATTTCAGTTTTTTCACAATGTATTTATGATCCTAGGCAAACCCAAACTTTAGCTTTCTCATAAGATGGAGATAATCTATCTCACAAAGTTGTCTTTTGGGTGATTTTTTGTGTTAGGGTTTTTTGTGGATTTTTGAGGTTTGTTTGTTTTTGAGACAGGGTCTCACTATGTAGTTCCGGCTGGCCTTGAGCTCACAGGCTGGTCAGATTTGCCTGGGATCCTTTCCTTTTCCAAAAGTTTTGTTTTTATAAAGTAAAGCATATTAGTGTATGAGTGAACGGGTCACCATAAAGAGAACTTAGCTCACCACCCCGTCAGCCCCCACGCCCAGCAAGGAGCCATGTTTTGACTTTGAAGGGATCACTTCTGTGTCTAAAACAGAATTTTCCATCTTAGCTAGTCTTTTTAGGCACGCAGTTCAGTCGCCTCCAATGTAGTCACATTGTTCTTTGGTTTGCTTTTTTGTTTTTTTTTGAGACAGGGTCTTGCTATGTAGCCTCGACTGGCCTTGAACTTGCAGCTATCCTCCTGCCTCAGCCTTCCAAGTGCTGGGATTGCAGACCTGCACCACAGTGCCCGGCTAGTATTTATAGTTCTTAAGTAAATGATTTTTCATGTGATTTGTTTAGTGAATAGTGTGTCATGCGTCTTAACATCTGTTGATTTTTTTTAGCCACAGCCCCTTGAAGCTCTGACAGTTGAACAAATTCAAGATGATGTAGAAATAGACTCTGACGATCACACGGATGCTTTTGTGGTGAGTGTCACAAAGAAGACATTGAATTTCTGATGATTTGTATCTGAGTCATGTTTAATTAAAAACACTGTAAAACTTGTAGAATTGTTTTACACTGTAAAACACTAGAACTTGAGCCTTTTAACATGACTTTAAGAGTCATTTTTTTGGCGGGCGTTGTGGCTCATGCCTGTAATCCCAGCACTGGGAAGGCTGAGATGGAGGCTGAGGCAGGTGGATTGTTGTGAGTGTGAGGCCAACCTGGTCTACAAAGTAAGTTCAAGGCTAGCCTGAACTGCACATTGAAACCCTATCTTAAGGGGCCAGGGGTATAACTCAGCGGCATAGCACCTGCCTGGCGTGTGCGAGGTCATCAGTTTGATTCCCAGTACCACCAAAAAAGAAAGAAAGAAAGAAAGAAAAAAAGAAAGAAAGAAACCCTATCATAAAAAGACAAAGAAAGAGCAATTTTGTTGTTGTTGTTACCAGGAATCAAACTCAGGACCTTGCTCAGGTGCCACTGAGCTATATTCCCGGCCCAAGAGTAATTTTTCTAAGTGAGCTTACAGCGATCCTCCTGCCTCAGCCTCCCAACTGCTGGGATTATAGGCGTGAGCCACCATGCCCAGCTAGAAGGATATATATTTGACCAATAAAGTTTTCTGTTTCCAAATGGTATTATTTAATTGATAGCAGGTATAATAATAATCCTTTCTGTGGTCTGTGATTGAACCAGAATACCTCACTGGTAACAAATAATTTCAAAGCTGTGAAATTAGTATAAAACTTCAATTATAAACTACTACTCCCTCCAGCTCTGTGCATTTGCTGACACATTCATTGCTTTCTGTCTTGTTAGCACCCTCCTCTAAAAGCAGAGGCATTTTATAGCTTCTAAGTCATTGTCTTTATGACCACTTGTTAACAATGCTAATTACACATTAGTCACAAAACTTGTTTGTGTAGAGCCTGAAGCATAGCGCTGGGAGACAGCAAGACTGACAGAAGAAATAAGTTGTGCTGTCAGATGGTGGAGCTGAGTGAGAAAACCACTTAACACAGCAGCAGTGGGAAATGCATTGAGTAGCAAAATCATCCTGCAAGTCAGTCGCAGGCTCCTAAGCCCCCTGCTCTATGTGTCAGCTGTGTGAAATACAGTCTTCTTTCTCTTACAGGCTTATTTTGCCGACGGCAACAAGGTAAGCGCACTTTTCGTGGAGTATACTTTGTCAAGTTTCTACATTCCGACGCTGAGCATTGGCAGACTTATGTGAAACCTATTTCTTGTTCCCTCCTCCTGGCTGCCGTCTCTGTTCATCTCACCCTCTTACCTCCCCCAAAGCAACAAGACCGGGAGCCCGTGTTTTCAGAAGAACTGGGGCTGGCAATAGAGAAACTGAAGGATGGATTCACACTCCAGGGACTTTGGGAAGTGACAGGTTGATCTTGAGCTGAACTGGATTTCTATGTAGAGCTGTCTGGAGATTAAAGATAGTAGTCGCCTGCCATGAGGCGTGGGGTATTCTTTATATTTACAGCTTTTAGAGCTAAAGCTTTTACCAAAGACATTTTTAACAATCGAGGAAAAATTCATTTTAAGAACTATTTTCTAAAAATTATACTTAAAATTATAATTCAAATGTATGTAGTTTGTAAATGTTTATTCTTTATCTGAAAGTTGTAAAGTACTAGTTTTCAGACATTAAATAACTGTACTATGTTGGATTTAATAAAGAATTTATGCAGCACCATTTAATGTTTTGAAAGTATTATTTGAAATAAGACTTCTTATGGAATAAGCAAAATACTCCTTTCTTCATTATAAAAGTGTGGTTTGAATACATTATCACATATCTTCAAATGTAAGCCAGCTCACACAAACTTCAGTCACTATTAGGTGATCATTTTTGTAGAAGTTATAACTATAGTATATATCAATCCCTCTGTAATGTTTTGGATGCTAGTTTGTAAGTAGCTTCAATATAATTTTGGCAAGAATACACTTATTTTGTAAAGAAATACACCTTTTTTATTGGTTTTCTCCTTGTTTGTATTTAATGTAACTTCTTTGACATTTTCAAAAATAATAAATATATTCGTTTTCTGATTTCTTAATTTAGGTAAAATTTGGTGACCTCTGACATCATTCTATATTTTTTGCTAAATAATTGAAATTAGCAAAAGGAACTCTCTCTCGTGGGAAAAGAATGTGTATAAAAACCTTTTAAACAGACATAGCCATACGTCCAGCCCACACAGTGTGCAGCCTTCTGTGTACCTGTTTATTAAAAATCAATGAACAGAAACTGCAAGTGGGTTTCCTCATTTCAATGGAAAAGGATTTCTGCATTTTTAAGAGCTAGAGTTATAATAACCTGTTTTAGGGGGTCACAAATAAAATAGTGACATAAATATTCTTTACTCCTTTTGAAGCAGGAGACTTCATAAAATTGCCAGCTAGTATGGAATAATCTCAAATGTCATCCTGGTGTTCACATCTGATCTTTTCAAATGTTAGGTGTTACGTGTAGAGAGAAATGAGTCATTTATTGTTTTAACCAAGGAGCAGCTGTTAGTTTTTTCTAGCGTGTTAAACCTTTAGTGACTTCTATAAATGGAAAAAGAATCAATGAGCTCTTCTTTCAGCTGTTGTTTTAACAGCTGACTGTACCACTGACTTCACTGTGATGTAAAATAAAAGAAAAAACCTTTACTCATTCACAGAGACCTTAAATTTTAAAAATACATAATTCCCTGATTGAGGCATTCATTCATTCAACAGGTATTCATGGAGCACTCACAGAGCCTATGAACTATAGCACTGAACAGCTCGAAGAGAAAAAAACAAAACCTGTATTACGTTCTTTTGGATACGGTTAAGAATACTACCCCCTCCAAAGACTACCAGCCTTTGAAGTTGCTGGCTGGGCATGGTACACACCTGTAGTCCTAGCACTCAGGAGGCTGAGGCAGGAAAACGGCCACGAGTTTGAGGCCAGCCTGGGCTACATAGTGAGTTCAAAGCCAGCCTGACTACATAGTAAGACCCTGTCTAAAAAAAAAATGAAATTACAGTATTTCTGCCACACTGCTGAGAAAATGATCATGTCATAAACCGTTTCATAGAATATATATCACCTAAAAGCCAAAGAGCAATTTTTTCCAAATGATTTCCACATTTCATAATTAATACAGTATTCTATTACAATCAGTAATTCATTATGATCCCCATTATATGTAATTAAAAATAAGGCCTGTTTTCCAAATTGAATGGCTACTGCAGCACTTCATCCTGATTTTGTTGGGTTCTGATGATAACATTATCCTCATGGGGCTGCCTCTGTGTTTATAAAGAATATAAAATTATGTGTATGTATGTGGGTCTCTTTCTCCTGGTGTTGATTTTTAACTACTTTGCTCTTGATTCCTTTAAAAATTTTTTGCCTTTGTTTTCCTTTTTCTTATTATTTTTTGCCTTGTTCAACAAGGCAGCGTGTCAATAAGTAAATTTTATAATTTAATTCAGTTCTAATTCTAGTTTTCCTGCTTAAGAATAAAGGTAATTTAGAATGTCTTAGGCAATTAGCAGTTTCTCTGCATTTATTTCACTTCTAATGGAGGTATCATTTCAAAGGTTTAGTAAGAGTATAATTACAGTATCTAAGTAAACATCTAAGGTTCCTACTTCCAAGAGAAAACTATATCCCACTGGTTAGGGTAAAAAGTAAAAATCTGTGTAACAATTTTTGGAAAGGGGATCTTGTTTCTGAGAAGCCAGATGAACTCACCTCATATTCTTGCCTTGTGCATCATTAATTCAGGGGAGCCAAGCAGTTTACCACTGGACCAGTTTTAGAGAAGTGACTCATTTCTACGATTCATTTTTCTGCTGGTTCAACAAACTTCCTCCTAGCGGCCTTTAGAAGCATATCTTCTAGTGTTTTATGCATTTTAAAGCTTCCCACATCACTCTGAGGTCTTGTTTCTTAGCTGTTTCCTTAGTGACCGAAAGTTCCAGTTGTTACTTTCAATCTTCAACAGCTGCAAGAACTGCTCTCCGCCCCGGCTCTCCTAAATTCCCGTTGTTAGCGTTGGCGTCTATATTTAGCTGGTGGGATTAAATTGCAAAGGCTCCAAGCTGGGCCAAGCACAGGGACCTGCCTTTCTACAGCTAGACTCGTGTGCTGCAAGGAGCTGCGGCCCTCAGTGTCCCCTCCCTCACCCAGGTCACCCCCGGAATGGACTCCCAGCGGGAACTGGCCGAGGAACTGCGGCTTTACCAGTCCACCCTTCTCCAGGATGGGCTCAAAGATCTCCTGGATGAGAAAAAATTCATCGACTGCACCCTAAAAGCGGGTGACAAAAGTCTTCCTTGCCACAGACTGATCCTGTCGGCCTGTAGCCCTTACTTCCGTGAGTATTTCTTATCCGAAATCGCCGAGGAGAAGAAGAAGGAGGTGGTGCTGGATAACGTGGACCCCGCGGTGCTGGACCTGATCCTCAGGTACCTGTACTCCGCCAGCATCGACCTCAACGACGGAAACGTGCAGGACATCTTCGCCCTGGCCAGCCGCTTCCAGATCCCCTCCGTGTTCACAGTCTGCGTCTCCTACCTCCAGAAAAGACTGGCTCCGGGCAACTGCCTGGCCATCCTGCGGCTCGGCCTGCTCCTGGACTGCCCGCGGCTCGCGCTGTCCGCCCGGGAGTTCGTGTCCGATCGCTTCCTGCAGATCTGCAAGGAGGAGGACTTCCTGCAGCTGTCGCCCCAGGAGCTGATCTCGGTCATCTCCAACGACAGCCTCAACGTGGAGAAGGAAGAAGCCGTGTTCGAGGCGGCGATGAAGTGGGCGCGCACGGACAAGGAGAGCAGGGCCAAGCACCTGGGCGAGGTGTTCGACTGCATCCGTTTCCGCCTCATGCCCGAGAAGTATTTCAAAGATCACGTGGAGAAAGACGAGCTAGTGAAGAGCAACCCAGAACTGCAGAAAAAGATCAAAGTCTTAAAGGATGCTTTTGCAGGCAAGCTCCCCGAGCCCAGCAAAAGCGCGGAGAAGACGGGGCCCGGCGAGGTGAACGGGGACGTGGGCGACGAGGACCTGCTCCCCGGCTTCCTGAACGACATCCCCCGCCACGGCATGTTCGTCAAGGACCTCATCCTGCTGGTGAGCGACGCGGCCGCCGTGGCTTACGACCCGGCCGAGAACGAGTGCTACCTGGCCGCGCTGGCCGAGCAGATCCCGCGCAACCACTCCAGCGTGGTCACGCAGCAGAACCAGGTCTACGTGGTCGGGGGGCTGTACGTGGACGAGGAGAACAAGGATCAGCCGCTGCAGTCCTACTTCTTCCAGGTAGGGAAGCCCTGGGCGAGGGCAGGGGCGGAAAGGGGAGGCGGTGAGCTGTTCGAGCTGCTTGCACTCTGCTGTGACCCCTGTCCCGTTGGGAGTCCCCCGCACTGGTGATAGGGGTGACGGGTACTTAGTCTGACTGCTTGTTAATGTGTTTTGTTTTGTTTTGTTTTTTGTCTTTTTGAGACAGGGTCTCACTATGCAGTTCAGGCTGGCCTTGAGCTCACTTTGTAGCCCAGGCTGGCCTTGAACTCGCAACGATCCTCCTGCCTCAGCCTCCCGAGTGCTGGGATTACAGGCGTACACTTGTTAATGTTTAATAATAGGTTTGGTGAAGACTGAGGTCCTAGTTAACATGGAACTCGTGACTCAAGATTTTCTTTATGCTCTTTTACCCAAAAATACCATGTTTATTCAGTAGTTGATTGTAATTCTTTGAAGCCTAGAATTTTAGTAAAATCTAATCTTGTACACTTACCTAGAAATAGATTAATGTCTGTATCTAAATCAAATTATTTCTTCCCCGGATCAAAGTACTTTACATATTACAGAAAGGGAATAATTGTCTGATTTTCTACTTTTTTGCAAGTTTCCTGCTTTTGCCTTTAATTTGAAGTTCTTGGAGGTAACATTTCATCTCTTGTCTATAGTTGCTGCCTAAAATATAATGTGGTTTAAAAATAAAAAATAAAATAAAATAAAATATAATGTGGTTGAAAATGAAAAGAGCATGTGTGCGTATTCTGTACAGTTGCAGGAATTCGGTCTGCACGAGAGTCAGTCACTGCAATGAATTACATTTGGAGGCTTTCGTTTACTATCACATTTATTTGGATCAGAGAAATAGTAAGATATTATTACAACTTAATCTTTTTTGTGAACCATAGGAGTTTCCAGAGAAACAGATCATCCTTTGTAGTCTGTTTGAAGGGCATTTGTTTGATATTCTCAGTGTATTTATTTCTGAAGGAATCCGTGCCTTAATCTTTACAAGGCTTCGTAACTTACCAGTAGCTGAGAAGATTTTGTTTAGGTCATAGCTAATCATTGCCTGCGGTTTATGGGCACTTGAGTTGCAAAGGTTAAAGACAAGCAGATGCAGAATGTCAGATCACAGTCACAATAGGCTCTACTGTACCGTCACAAAATACTACCTCTAACCAGCTTTGTCCCCCGTCTTGACAAGTGTCATAATAATACATATAAACTATGCTTCTTAATTTTCAAAGCTCCGCTGAAAAATGTCATTAAGTATTTGACTTTGGGCCAGAAAAGTTCCTAAGCACTAATTTCAAATTCAGATAAACTGTAGAAAGGGCACATTAAAAAGAAAACAGAAACCAAAAGGGCCAATTCAGTTAAAAAACTGTCCATATGTTCAGGAAGTAAAACTATCAAAAGACAGAAAGACAATAGATACAAATTATAAATAGTTATAACCACAGAAGAATTCCTTAAAACTCCTAGAGTTTTTGAATTCCATTTTGTATTTAATTTATACATCTGGAACCCTATCCTTTTGCTTATGTTTTTTCCTCTTCCATCCTATTAGTCCCTTGCTTTTACTGACGTGGCATCTTATTTCTGGCTCAAAAAAATCTGCTTGTGGTTCTTTGAAGCTACTAAAGCAGTTATACAAAGTTGGATGGCCAATGCCCTGTCACCATCCAGGTGTTGCTGCTTTTATTTTACTTTATTTTTTTGGTACCAGGAATTGAACTCAGGACCTTGCAGTGGCCAGGCAGGTGCTGTACCTCTGAGCTATCTCCC